TAATAACCAGGCTGCTGGCACTGCATATATCATGGATAAAAACATCCTTAAAATCATAATAACCTCCGAATATCCAGAAGATCTTCCTTTAACACCAGATTTCAACCTTAAAGAGAAAAAGTCGTTGTACAAACTCACTAAAAATGCCAAACTAATGCGGACAAATAACCATCGAAAAACAGTTCCAGCAGTAATGAACCATAGCAACATGAGTCTAGTAGTAGCTACCTCCATTATCTCCAGCAAGTCATGGTAGCTGCCTGTAGTATCTACAACAAGTCATGGTAGCTACAGTACGATACCAGGTGAAGGAGTCGAGAGATTCCAGCTCGCGGAAGTTTTTCCGGTGGCATCAGAAGAACAAAGAACAGCGGTCTTTTAACGTACAAAACATGTAGCACTGACATCGGTAACCGAAAAAATCTGCATTAAAAACCGAAAGAACGTAGCAACTAATTATAGATTATTAACTATAAACAAATACGAATATCATTGACAACAGTTGATGCATCCGTCGACAAAAAGTGCCTAGTCGGCACCTACAAGGAGAGCTTTTTAACGTACGCGAGATAATCCATATTGGCACTTGAGATGCCAGCGAGCAACCACGTCACGACTGGTGCAGCTCGCGGCGCATAGGAACTTTACAACTTTATCTTACGAATGTTAACTGAATATTAAGAGTGATCTATAACTAGAGTATGAAATACTTGTTCGTCTTGAGAGTTCGAAAATTTGTACGAGTGTAAGAGCAGCACATGGAGAGACTGGGACGAGCAGAGCAATGCTTAGACAGGAATAATTAAATTAACGTCTTGCAGAAAAAGTTGCATATAAACAACACCTCAATCCTCAGCCACCGGGCATGTGACGTTAAAATAACGTTGATCGGACGTTATTTCACCGTCATTCGCCAACACTTAATAAAAGCCTAGAAAAATCACATGCGGGGAGCGTCGCTAACAACGCTTGAAAATAATCCATGTTTAATTATAGCAAACATTCAGAATAAAATAAATGATCATGTTGTCGAAATGATGACACACTTTTTACCCACATCACAAGCAGAGAGCGGATGTAGCACTGACACGCTATTTCACAGAGCAAAACTGAGTCAAGATAATCCGCACTGAGACGCGGCGACCCATCGTGGCCTAGGACTGCTACGTCCGAAACAAATACCAAGGATACTGGGAGAAAAAAATGAAATGCATCGATATTTAGACAAAGTCACACTCATTTCGCTGAGAGCTAAAAGGTCCATAGAGGCCACGGAACTTACTCGTGCATTAACTTAACTTGAATTGTTTAGAACTTAAGTTCTAAATAAAATATACATGAGTACAGGCGCTCACAGCGGCCGGTCCAGAACTGAGCAGTTAGTGTATTCACTTGGCATGGTTTATGTACCGAGTATTAAAATTAACGACATAATTATAAATTAATTATAATTAAGCAACCTAAGTCGGGAGGACACGTGAGGCTTCCAATGCACCGCACTAATGAGGCCCACATCACGGGCACACTTAATATGGCCTCATCACACTAATGAGGAAACATTTAATATGGCCTCATAACACTAATGAGGCCATATTTAATATGGTCTCGTTTCACTAATGAGGCCACATTTAATATGGCTTCATCACACTAATGAGGCCACATTAATATGGCTTCATCACACTAATGAGGCCACACTTAATACGTATGCCCTCATCACACTAATGAGGCCACATTTAATATGGCCTCAACACACTAATGAGGCCACACTTAATATGGCCTCATCACACTAATGAGGCCACATTAATATGGCCTCATCACACTAATGAGGCCACATTAATATGGCCTCATCACACTAATGAGGCCACATTTAATATGGCCACATCACACTAATGATAATGAGGCCACATGAAACACATTAACAAGAACATATTTTACGACAAAGCCAAACGCTTAACAACTGAAGAACAAAACATGAATGCTCGTGTCGAATGGCCGTCATATTGCACATTATGCACGATATTAAAATACACAAAAAATTAATCCCAAAACTAAAATGGAATTGCGACTGAACAAGAATTGACAATTGATTCCATAATAAGAATTTATGAAGAAATTAAAACTCAATGGCAACAACGGAAACTTTTTTCACTGTCCCTGCACAGCTGCGAGAATCGGAAAGATTCTAATTTTATTTTACGTGTTCTTTATAATATAAAATTAAGTAAAACAATCATGGGACAATAAGATTACAATTGATCATTACAAATAGCGGCTTGAGACCGTAGTTGCGTTACACGAGGATAGACTTGAGAATCTGGCGTATGGAGGAACTACAAACGAACTAATGGCAAACACAACCAAATACAGGCACACAAAATTAGGGTGAGGGATGGTAAGAAACGAGGGTAAGTAGTGACGGTAAGTGAGGGTAAGAAGAGATACGTAAGGATAAGAACTGAGGGTACGTGAGGGTAAGAAGTGAGAGTATGAGATAGCAAAATGTATGGATATGTGAAGATAAGAAGTGAGGTAAGTGAGGGTAAGAAGTGACCGTTCATCGCCTGCCTAGCGAGGCAAATGTCTGTAGCGAATGTCTGTCTACTGTCTGGTGTTACGGTAGAGAGACCGTGCTGCCTTTGTCTAGTGCTGACAGTAGACCCATTAGTACGGGTTGCCTGTCTACTGTCTAGTGCTGACAGTAGACCGTTAGTACGGGCTGCCTGTCTACTGTCTACTGCTGACAGTAGACCCGTTAGTACGGGTTGCCTGTCTACTGTCTAGTGCTGACAGTCGCCCCGTTATAGTACGGCTTACAACTACAACAGCGCACAAAGTTGCTGGTATTCAGGCTGTGAGATAAGGACATCACACTGCAGCTGTGATGTTGCCAGCAACCAACGCAGCATCAGCGGCAAGTGCAGGAGTGGAAATGAGCTCAAGATAGACTTGGCAGGTCAGGATGACAAACACGAGCTTGTAGAGTGCATCGCTATATGGACATAATCCCACGTATGTCTGTGAGTGCCTCCTGCCAGTGCAACTCACGCCCGTACGTCCACTCCCGCATCGAACGTAGAAACGAGTTAAATATTGGCACTGGATAGCATCAATCAGTAATATTATCATTAGATATTTATACGTACTAACAGAAAAATAGATTTATCATTCATCCACCAAGAGAAAAAGGTGCAGCTGCAGGGTATTGTGAGAACAAGTTAAAGTGAAAGTCAGACAGAAACAAATATAAACCTTAAAGAAATTTGAACTAAATATTTAAGAAGTCAACAAGTGCAGAAATGCCACATTGTACGAAAGGTTTGGGATCACTGCTGTGGTCACTGCACCACAATTAAGCTCGCTGGTATTGCACGTCTCATTGCAGTCGTCATGAAAATCAACAACATAACGGAGGGAACATTCAACGTTTCAAATTTAAAGCAAAACATTGCCATGTTTTTTGTTTCTCATTGCACTAAACACAGCTGCAAACCAAATGTCATTGAAATAAGGTTGAATTCGAGTTGATTTTAAAGGTTGTATCATGAACGTTACTTGACTGGTGAGATATAAAGCTGCCTATACTTGTGAATATTACGTCATGACTGTAATATCACTTGAGTAAAGAAATCAATTTGAAAATAGTTCACGTTGAATAAAATAACTCAATAGAACCAACTATTTAGAACTATTGCATTCAATACTTTTAATTAGAATAATCCGAAACAAAGTTAATTGCCAATAAGAGAAGCAGTTGAGTTCATCTACAGAATTCTTTGCTTGGCTCTTCATAAGCGCGCGTAGCATCAGCGGCAAGTGCAGGAGTGGAAATGAGCTCAAGATAGACTTGGCAGGTCAGGATGACAAACACGAGCTTGTAGAGTGCATCGCTATATGGACATAATCCCACGTATGTCTGTGAGTGCCTCCTGCCAGTGCAACTCACGCCCGTACGTCCACTCCCGCATCGAACGTAGAAACGAGTTAAATATTGGCACTGAACGTTATCTATCAGTAATATTACCATTAGATATTTAAATATACGTACTAACAGAAAAATAGATTTATCATTCATCCACCAAGAGAAAAAGGTGCAGCTGCAGGGTATTGTGAGAACAAGTTAAAGTGAAAGTCAGACAGAAACAAATATAAACCTTAAAGAAATTTGAACTAAATATTTAAGAAGTCAACAAGTGCAGAAATGCCACATTGTACGAAAGGTTTGGGATCACTGCTGTGGTCACTGCACCACAATTAAGCTCGCTGGTATTGCACGTCTCATTGCAGTCGTCATGAAGATCAACAACATAAAGGAACATTCAACGTTTCAACTCAAAAGCAAAACATTGCCAGGTTTTTTGTTTCTCATTGCACTAAACACAGCTGCAAACCAAATGTCATTGAAATAAGGTTGAATTCGAGTTGATTTTAAAGGTTGTATCATGAACGTTACTTGACTGGTGAGATATAAAGCTGCCTATACTTGTGAATATTACGTCATGACTGTAATATCACTTGAGTAAAGAAATCAATTTGAAAATAGTTCACGTTGAATAAAATAACTCAATAGAACCAACTATTTAGAACTATTGCATTCAATACTTTTAATTAGAATAATTCGAAACAAAGCTAAATACCAATAAGAGAAGCAGCTGAGTTCATCTACAGAATTATTTGCTTGGCTCTTCATAAGCGCGCGTGATGACGACCGAGGCGGCGGTACAGCGCGGCCTGGGGCTGCTACGTCTGAAACGCTCACCTAGGACACCTCATAGTGGCAAAGCAGAGTCCTTTAGAAAGTTCAATCCTCTCCTTCAAGTTCAATTTTAAGTCCTAGAAGTAGACCTGCAAAGTATCACGGATACCAGCATAAGATATCTGCCTGGTTTAACCATGGGTTTGGTTGAAAAACCCTTATTTTATGGTTTTAAAACCATGTGTTTGGTTTTAAATCTTGAGTAAATGAGAAAATTGAAAATGAACTTTTCTAAACATTTACTGGTTTGCCACTATGCTCAGCGAGGCCACAAGTATAGATAAAATATAACACAAGTCCCTTCAGCCTGGGGGCTTGGCAGATAAAACATATTCAGAAAAATTTAAGGGTCACGTTGTCCAAATACGGTACTAGTGATTCACTTTCTCCACCCAGTACTGATACGTTATTAAGCAGGGACAAACTATATCAGGATGACCCACATAATAACAAAAAAAGTGCATCGTACTTGGGGCAAAGTCAGAGTCATATCTGCGACTGTAACAATTGATGTACAATGTTGCAGGCAGTGTAAGCGTCAGCTTCTGAGATCCCAGTCACAAGAGATTTAATGGTACTCGTAACAACGAGAACTTACATCACTGGTTTCGAATATAATTGTTTAGTGCATTATTATTTCTTCAGTTACAATACTAAAATCAATGTGAGTTGTTAACAGTTCAGGTTATAATTTATTACTTTCAAATAGGTTAAAATCGTACCTCAGAGAGAGCGTTCATAGACATACAAGAAGCTACCAAACATAAAACACGTAAAACAACAACGAAAATTGCACATTAGATCAATCAACATAATTTGAGACACATTTGAACTTTAGATAACAAAATGCCTTCAAGAATATCACGACAAAGAGGCGGAATTTCTTCCCGTTTAATGGCGCGGATATCGCTTGGCTTTAACGCACCAAAATCGAATTATGCAGATTTTTGCTCGTCTATTAATAACGAAAATATTTTCCACATTAAAAGATTTTCCTTTTTTCATCACAACATACAAAATTTACAAATTTATTAAATAATGCTGAGCCATGCGGTTTTTTAAGCCTAAATTACATTGCACCAACGTCCACAGTTGATATTTTAAAAACAATTTTACGCTCCACACGCGCTTTGTTTATAATTTATTTACGAATAAAAAAAGCAGTGCTCACGGCGGTAAAAGTTTCGATGCAAGTACAGCATAGGAAGGCCAGATCCCACGACAACGATTTTCAATTTAACGTCATTTTCACCTTCAAATAAAATAGATGGCAAATACTTATAGCAGCTGGCACACATTATGAGATAGGAAATAATAGTTCAACAAGCGATTCAGATTCAGAGCTTATGCGGCGATGTGGCGGCTACAAAGATTAGCGTCGTGGATGCTAAGGATATTGGAAGTGAAAGTTTCATGGAGATGACGAGCAGGAAGGGATCACTGGGCAGGTCTGAGTGTCGCCTGGTTGGCCTGAGATGTGAGCTGGTGGTATTGTCTGGGGTCAGATGACGGCGTCATCATGTACGAGGCGCCAGGGAAGATAGAGTGTGGGTAGGGGATGAGGTTTGCCATGGTCATGTGAGGAGACGTGGCCATCATGCCACCAGGCGTCATGGTTATGCTGCTCTGGGCCTCAGAGACCAAACCATGACCGGAAGATTCAACATTATTAGAGGTGACTGGTGGAGGTCCGTTAGACACGTTAGTGGCTGAACTGCTTGAGTTTGTGCTGGTCTGGTTGTTGCTGGGGCTCAGACCCTGTAAAGAATGTGGCGACTTTTGAGAATTGTTAGACCCTGGAGAAGAATATGGCCTGATGTCGAGAGCTGAAGGGCTCTCCCCCACAGAGTTACCGTATCGAGGGTTGGAATCTAAGCTGTGGCTGCGGTTGTTGTTGTTGGATGTTCCATTAGAAGTCTCATGGTGCACTTGGTTGTGGCCGAGGGCCAGCAGGCTGTGAGGGGAAGGAACAGTCTGGCTCTGCTGCACAATCCCGTGAGGGGAATGATTGTGGTTCACTAAGCCATGGAGACCAGCCATGTGAGCTGGTCTAGAGGATAAGCTCTCTAGACTGAGCCCATTACCCTCCGAGTATTCGTCATGTTCTTCCTTGATGAGCTTCTTTGCTTGCTGCAAAACAATCTTCGGGTCTGGCACGTCCTTGTGGCACTTCATATGCGATATCAGCGTCGCCATTTCCCTGAAGTGCTTGCGACACGCTGGATGAGGACATGCAAAAGGTTTATCCCCCAGATGTGTTCTATAATGCTGGTCCAATATTGCCTTTTGTCGGAACTGCTTGCCGCACTCCATGCACACATAAGGTTTTTCCCCCGTATGTATTCTCAAGTGCTGGTTCAGGATGGTGCGTTGTCGGAAAGACTTATCACAAAAAGTGCAGTCATAAGGCTTCTCGCCCGTGTGTATACGCATGTGCTGCTGCAGGTGCGTGGGTTGTCTGAAGAGTTTACCACAATCAGGACACACATAGGGCCTGTCACTACTGTGGGTGCGTTCATGTTGCTGAAGACCGCTGCGTAACTTGAAGCCCTTGCCACACACTGTACACTTGAAGGGCTTGTTCTCCTCGTCGTCGTCGTTGTGCGCTGTTGACGGGTGAGTGATGGGCAACATTGTTGGCAAACCCTGCACAAAAATGTCATGGTAAATGCTTTGCTGTTTTAATAAACTTCTTGATATCTATGTGCATAATGGATGTAATTTTTTGTTTTTGTGTCAAGACTATTCATTGAAAATCTGAAGCTCGTGTACAACACACATTTTTTTTAGGAAAAGAGTGCCTATAAATTTTTTGTGATGGTAAATGCCTTGCTATTTTACTCAACAAAGATGGTTGATGTTCAGAAGAGAAGAAGAACTTCGAAGGAGCGCCATAGGCGAACCATGAAACAATTCATTGGCACTATTTTCCTCAAAAAAAAAAAAGCGTGTTGTAAATGAGCTTAAGATTTTCAATGAACAGTCTTGACAAAAAGAACCAATTTACATCCATTATGCACATACATATCAAGAAAATGCTTACTGTGGGGCATGAACTGCATGATTCAGCGAGTTTTTTAAATTCTTTCACGTGTGTTGATATTTAGGGAAAACAGAAAGGTTAGAGTGGGAGTTAATGAAGTAAAGAGTGTGGTTAGTAAGATCAGAGTGAGGCCTATTAACGATCGGAATGGGTTCTTGGGCTGGAGGATGCTAAGTGGAGCTAAGTTAAACCCGAGTGGGGTTAGTGAGGCTTGACCACTCAAGCCACCTCCTAGTGAGGTGGATTTGTGAGGCTTGAGTGGGGTTAGTTAGGATTGAAAGGGGTTAGTGAGGCTTGAGTGGGGAGAGTGATATTCGAGTGGGGCAAGTGGGGCTCAAATGGGAGTAAGAGGGCGAAAATGGTGTCAGTAGTTTCCGAGAGGAGTTAGAAATTTTTGAGAGAGGTTAGCGATTCTCGAGTGGGGTTAGTAATTTTTGAATTGTGTTAGTAGGTAATTCTCCAGAGGATTTAGTGATATTTCACACAAGTGCATTAATATTTGGACAAAGTTTCACTTATTCTGGTGAGTGTAACATGCCGGTCTAGGGAATGAAATTTATTCCAATTTATGGCATGAGGAATGCATTTAAATGATGTCATGAAAGGAAGGACGTTAGGTGTGTTTTAATGCTGATATGGGGAAAAGGTTTTGACAATAGAGCTGGATTATGAAATGTTCTCAATTTCGATATGGTGAATTTACTTGGTGTTTTCTTTGCTTTTAAATTCCTTGTTAACTTGCTTTTTAAGCAGACTGATGATATGAGGTTATTATAGTCTGATATATAAAAGTGTAACCTGGGCTATAATTTAGCAGCCTCTATTGTTTTTAGCTCACTATATGATTCATGATTGATTAGTAAATACTATTTACAGTTGAATCTCTTTTATTTTCTTGGTTGTGCAAAATTTGTGGCACAAGTATTATTGTGCGATTTGGAAACACACTGCATTATACCTGATCATTTACACCTTTGATTGCATGCTGATTTCATTTAAAGACCTTCATATCATTCAACTGAACAATGATGTAATCCAGAAAATAGTTAAAATGGTTACTTTCAGATAGTTAATGTACACAGAAAGAGATAGGTTAATTTGGAACAATTATTTCATCTAAAAATTAGTTGGACCAGATGTAGGTATCATGAAGGAATGTTGATATATATATATTTCAAGCTCTCTACCTTGTAAAACAAGATATTTTTCTTCACCTTCTAACATATTTCCTGTGAGCTTTGATCTCCGCAGAAGTGCTGGTACCAGGTATGCCAAGCGCAAGCTCGGGGAGGCTGTGTAGCTGTGATGCCAGATCATGTCGCAGGTCTGGAGTGTGGAGCCTTGGTGGTGGTGAGGAATCTGTTCTGTGGAAACCTTGGGGTTCATATGGACTTTCCAGAGGGTTGCTCTGATGTGGAGTGTTGGCGGGGGGAGGGTGGTTAGGGGTACTTGAAGGAGGAGGTTGGAGTTGAAGGCCGCTGACACTGTTAGAGGCAGAGACGACAGCTGCCACCGCAGACACCACTGACGTTGGTGACGGAGAATGCATGGCAGAAGGAGATGACATGGACTGACTCATGTGATGGTGAGTGTTGTGGTCATCAAGCTTGATGCTGTTGCTTGCCTGCAAAGCCAGTGACTGCGAGACTATCAGAGACTTGGAGGACAAAGCTTGGTACATGTGCGACACGTGAGAATCTGTTGAGGAAGGAGGATGAGGAGAATGAGAACTCGAAGAGTGGGGAGTAGTTGAGTGGGGAGAGTGGGAGTGTGCAGATACTGGGGGATGCTGATGTACACTCAAGCTGTGTTGAGGGGGAAGCATGTGAGCTGGGTAGTGGCCCCCTCCAGCACCCCCGACCCATGATGGGATGTAACTCATGGTGCTTGTGTGTACCTTATCTGCAACAAAAAGCCAGGATCAATTTAATGAATACATGCCCTGCAAGTCCAGATCATTAAATAGAAATATTATTTAATTTGGAAATGCACAAGATATATGACATATCTTAGGCCAGTGGTTCCCAAACTTTTTCAGGCTGGCACCCCCCTGGCTCCCCAGTGAATCTCTAGCACCCCCCACTGACAGACACACATAAAAACAAATGCCTCTTTCTTGATATTTAGTATGCTGCAGTTTTGCAAGAGAAAGGTTAAACACAGATCTTTCCAGAGGTCCCCACAGATCTTTCCACTGCTCCCAGTGTGGTGATATCACCTACTTTGGGAACCACTGCCTTGGGCAAAACTGCTAGCAGTATAAAGTAAAATATTAAAATTTGACACAAATTAGTGTAGAATTTGACAAACATTTCAGCCACAAAGCCATTACCTGAGGGCAAGGAATAATTTGGAATTTAAAATTTATAAATGATTTGTAATTTAACCCTTATTTCATGTTCATAGGAAAAGATACCTTCACTTAATTACATCAGTTGCCACAACTTGCTAAATAACTTTGGCGTTCAAGTTTTGTATGAAAAATTAGTACCTACATCAGGCTACATGTATACATCATTTTCGCAACAAATTTGAATGTATATTCATTATTTCACCATCTTTTATAAAAAATTTACAGAAGTTGACAAAAATGTGTAGTTAGTGATCTTTTTGGGCCAAAATCTATAAATTAATATATTCATACTATATATTTCAATCTAATTTAGTATATATTTAGATGTCCACATTAGACTAGCTTAAGTCACTGCTGGCAGGACCAGGCTAGTTATGTCATTGGTACTGGAGCAGAAACAGAATAATTTAACTTGTCGTAACAGTAGGTCAGGAGCTTGGTTAACTGCGATAAGAATGTTTCACAAGTCAAAATTGGACTCGAGAAAGCTTAGAAAATTTGCTTAATAAGCCTCAGAATACATTAAATGCTTGCCTATATCATCCAATTCCAGTATATGTTTGTACAAACTTGTATTATGTCTCCACTCACTGGGCAGTGGGCACTAGCTAGCTAGTCTGACTAGAGAGTCACTGTCACACAGTCACTGTGATGTCAGAACTTTAATTATACTTTATATATATATTATATTTGGCTTTAAGTTTCTGCTGCATGATCTTTAGTAAAGATTAAAATGACTAAAAAATAAAATAACAAAAATAAAAAATATTCATGTCCAGTTAAAAATTGCACAAAATATACTTCAATAATTTTGATAATTTAAAATTTATTAAAATAACAATAGGTATCCACTTAACACATAATGATATAAAACTATTACCATACAATAATAGTTACTATGATAAAACGATAATACTATTAAAATTCTGCAGCACTACACATAGAACATAGAAGCATGATGAAAATGTTAAATAATAATTTTTGAATCTATATAATTTGAATTAGCCTACCTATAATTCCCCAAAATTAAAAGAAAATATAGAAAACAAAGGTTTGCATGCAAATATCGTACATCATTCCAAACCTAACACATAGCAGGAGTTTTTAACAAAAATAAATGCTTCCCAACTTCTCAAGTTTATTGTAATGTTTGCAAGGATGGCGTGATGGTCACATGGATGAGAAGCGAGCATGCTGGCCAGTCAACCATTTTGGGCCTATGGCATGAGCTACGAGTTCAAGAAACGATTTACTCACAAGACGATTGTCGAAATAACGATAATTTCTTCTGATCGGACACCGCACACAGAAGACGCACATTAGGCTCACGTATTTCTATAAATACTTTCAGTTTTCACACAGCCGGGAATGAGAAACAAGGTGAAGAAAAAAGTTACCGTCCCTCCATCACAACATAAAGCTGATCGAATAAAGAAGCGCGGTGGTCAACTCTTGAGCTGGCCGCCTCAGGGGACGCACAGCCAAGGTTATATCAGCAAAAAATGACTATTGTCCTATGGCAACTGGCGCCTGTCCTATGAGGGGTTTTAGGGGGATTTTCTGTTAAAAGAGCATACCTCAAAACGACCGCACTCAAAAAACACGGAACAACGTTTTCAGCACTCGAATTAAATTGAATTTATTTACCAACAAGGCAGTTCAAAAGTCCAGCCATGAAGTTGGATTTGATGGCGCGGCTTCAAGGTACGGCTACCCAGATGCCTGCCGCAAGTCATTATCTCAGATTATCGTTCTCAGTGGCACTGCACGAGCTACTATACAATAGAAATATCACTGTAAACATCGTAAAAATCTACGACGAGAAAAAATACTTCGAGAGAGCAACACCGCTCTAACCTTTTGGAGATTCCTTAAATAAATTGGGGGTGGAGTGATGCACTAGACTGAAGTAGAGACTGATGTACTTGGCGTCCTCAGACATGTGAAAAAATCCCAGAAAAACTCGCACCGACTCAAAAAGGCCCCTCCCTACGCTTTAAATCTGGCTCTCTCACTACATTTATTGCTTAGCATACACACATGCTTCGCTGGAATTTCGTCTTATCAGAGTTGCTGATTCTTTATTTCTTAGGGCTATTTTTTTAGCATTTTTTTTATAGATTTTTATGACATCATTTGTTGAGAGCGCTACACTCCGCCCACGTCAGGGTTCGACCAATAGTCGAAGTTCACAATTAGATCAATTATCTTCTGTGTTTACAAGGTAGAACGTAGGGCGAAATGCATTCATGGAAAGATTATGATGGAAAAAGCAACAAATTTTATTTAAATACAATTGATTAAACACGAGACCGATGACTATAGAGCCAATCAAGATGATATAAATAAGATTTTAATTAAAATTTTCTAATATACTCGGCAAGGTCTTAAAAATTTTAAAGGGTTGTTAAAATGATTTTATCATCAAACTTAGGCTCAGAAACGATTTAAAATATACTTTTAACAACATATTCAATTTATTTACCGGTTAAATTCGTTCGGTGGGCCACTTGGAAGTACTTGGCAACTTAACTTTTTTGCCTTCTTTTTCTCATTTTTCTCATTGGAATTTCTTTCATGTACTTTGGATTTAATAACTCGGAACAATTATTGCCATGACCATCTGATAGTTTCAAAAAATATTTAACATAATAATATGGAACTAATTATCCGCAGAAGGAAAGTATTACAATCAGATCATTAATATATGAAATAATCGTGAATCTGGCATCTTAATATTTCTAAAGCTCCATAAAAGACAACAGAAACTAGTGCCAAATCACCGCTAATGATTAGACGAGTCTAAAGCATTAAGGACTAAGTAAATGATTTCAATTGTTAAAAAATACTTTTTAATTTGTATATTTTTACTACAATTTAGGTAATGGGATGCTGAATTCAAATGATAACTGTAGTGTAGTAATACTATACCGTATTTAGACGATGTACGTTCACCGTCCTTGCTTTCGTCTACATTCATCGGCATCGCCAGGGATGTCAGTATCACCCATGTCGCCATTAAGAGAGTATCACCGAACTGTTAGTCGTTTTTCGAGTGTCAATATGATAGCATAACGTTTTAAACGGCCCTGCGCCTCGGCGCCACAAACCTGCAATCATGGCGTGAGTATATTGATATTTAAAGTTCCTTAGAACTTCTTTGTTGACTTTTTATTTGTTGATCTTAACTTAAGCATGATGATTCAGGAATCACGTGTCAACTGCATGATGCAATCGGGCCGTGGGTTCGCTTACCTGTCCTAAAACTTCTGCTTAAATTATCGTTAATGCTATGTCAACATATTTTATCTATAGATTAAAATATTTTTAAAATGTTTAAATTTGGTTAAAATATTTTTAAAAGGTGTAAATTTAGTTGAATGATATCACATTTATAATTTACATTGAAATTAGCTTTACTACTGCGCAGTTATCTTACTACTTGATAATTTTTTTTATTAATTTCTCCACCTGATAACCCACTGAACCCAATGGCCCTCGGTGCCAGCAGTACTACTACGTACTATAAAATACCATTCCAATGCAGGGTGGAATTCTAGAAATGGAGGTTCACTTATAAAAATGCTTTCCACCCAAGTTGGAATGCTTTCCTTAGATACAGTGCTCTGCCAGATGACTGACTATAAATCAAAAGGAGGATCAAAATTAGACAAACTGTTTCAATTGTATAGTACCTCAATTTTTTTTATTAATTTCTCCACCTGATAACCCACTGAACCCAATGGCCCTCGGTGCCAGCAGTACTACTACGTACTATAAAATACCATTCCAATGATTCCATTATCTCGAAAGCTGAAGTTGAGCAATGCTTTATAAATATTTTATAATTCGTTAGAATTATTTTTAATTTGATAAACTATTGCAAATTGTGGAATACATGAATACCTAACTGCAAATATGGTATGAAGTATGATTTGTTTACATTTGTGTGAAGCAAAATCTTCTTGCCTTGCTCAACCTTTCAGTCACACCATCAATTCATCAGCATGATTGTTATTATTTTGGCCAAGATGGATCAAGGAATTCTAGAAAAAGCTGGTTCATAATGTAATATATTCACGATTGATTAATTATGGTAACTTGCTTATTTCCTAAGAATTATGAGTATGGTGGTCTGTGGTGTGGATGGTAGGTAGTGTTGGCCCAGAAAGTCATAATGGCCCAGAACATGAACTTAACTTTTTACCACTAAATTGGACTTTAAAGTTGCCTTTTGATGCCGGCACATAAATAGATGGTCTGAACTCTGAAGACTCTTCAGAGTCTATTTATGTGCCTGGCCAGTAATTTCAGCCTATTTTGAATGTGAAAGAACTCCACCACTCCACCCCTAACCCTTTAGTGATCCTTTGCGACTCATTAACACATAAATCAATGTACAGAGATGATTTTGGTACTGTTGGATAGGCCAGAATGCCAACTTTATGATGGGCATTAAAACTGGAAAATCAAAATTTTCAATTTTTCACCTAGAATATTAGGAAGTAAAGGGTTAAGAAAAGTGAGAGCCTATTCAGTTTTTATCATTTTTCATTTCCCTTCAGACATATATAATTGTATTTCTATATTATTTTGTGGTGTTCATTTTACCTGACTTGGTTCTTACAACTCTTAAGGTCATTAGTAGGAAGCTTACATTCTTCAAGGGCGGAGGGCCCTGAAGTATTCAAGTTGAAATTATCTAAACTTAGTTAGTTCCTTAGGGGCCACTATCAGTATCATCAGCACTGCTGTATGCTGTAAAGTTGGATCTTAGTTGCCTGCTGGCTTGGCTACTACATAGAAAATTTATTATTTCATTTTTTTCAAAATAGCAGAGAGATTATTCATATAATTGCAAGTATCTCTGGAGAACTTGATGGTCCAAGTATAAAAGTTACAAAAGCCAATTTTGGTGACATGTTAGGTCTGCAAAAAGTCAATCCTGGGGTGTTAATACTGGGTAGAACTTGGAGGAGGTAAAATATAAACAGGCATGGATGAATGTATTATTATTATTAGATTGGAGCTTCAATACATAGAATTCCATTCATTGAATTTCTGGCATGCATGACCAATATCACCTGCAAGATTTGTGGACAAGACCATTATGCTCATCATTGTCTTGTTATAAGCTGCTGACGATACTACTGGGAAATGAGTTCTCACCAGGATTGTAGTTTGAAAATGTTTGTTTCAATGTTCCAGATCAATCCAGATTTGTCACTTGTTTGGTTAAAAAATAGTTGTCTGGTTTGAAAACATGGGATGATGTTAGTGGCCACCATTGCTCAATACCAGTATCACTCTCATATTCCTTCCCATGTACATGCATGCCACTGGGTAGAGTAAAAACATAGGTGCTGTAAGTCTGTGTCCTGTGGCCTCTGCTAAAGTCAGTATATAGTCTCCATGGAAGTTGTACCCCATCATGGCACTACCTATGCACTTTTGTCAACTCTCTACTCTAACATTCCTGGCTTAACCTCATTGGCTGCATCAAGTTGAAGGAGCAGGGCAAGAAGGGGGCTGAAGCCTGTAGTTGGCTGCTGCAAGAGGGAGAGGCAGGGTAACTTGAGGTAGGAGCATCATGGGGTATGGTTTCTATGAAGACTACTGACATGAGCAGTGGCTGCCACCATAGGCACTATGGCTTCAAGCTGGTTCAGAATTGGTGTGGCTTGCAGCATTTGGGTTATGGTGCATTGTAGCTTGGACACTAAGTGTGGCTGTACATGTTTAGGCAGAGTGTTTGCTCTATGGCTTGTTCAGGAGTTGAATTTGTTGCCAATGTCTGGGCTCCCTAAATTAAAGAACCAGTTTCTGGTCCTCTGATCTGATATTATTTTGACTTGATAATAAATCATCCCTACTGAAATCTATCCTGTCTTCTCTCAGATGTTAAATATTTGCATGAGATATTATAATTTGCTGGACTTGTGAGTTAGGTCAGATGTTTTTCAACAGATTACTTAGCATGGATTCTTTTCTCATAATGGCCAGTGGTTGGTAAGTGTTCTACATGAAGCAAGATGCCCTTGTATTGCCTAATCTGATTAGTTCAATGTGAAGATGCAAAGCTTGTTAAGATGCAAAGCTTGTTAAGATGCAAAGCTTGCATCCATTTTTTTATAAACTTACTCTCTAAATTAGTTAGAAAAATTTCCAGGCAAATGTGAATTAATTTCATGTATGAAGTAGTCCCCTTTTTCTCAAACTTTGTCACTTGTGATCTGTGCATCACTTAATGGGATTTATTGTGTTCTTTGAGTTGTTGCTGCTATATTGTGTTGTTGAGTTGTTGGTTTGAAGTGTATGATTAAATGTAGGTCATGTTGCACCAGAATCTCCTGTGCATATGTTATATTAATTTGAATATTGCATTAATTTGATTTGAATATTACATTAAATGTGGCAGTTTTAGTTAAGTAAATGACACAATAAGAGCTACAGTGTTTTGATGTTTCTTTACTTTCAGGACCTCACGCAACTCTACCACGCTTAGCCCTACCGGCACAACCACCTCCATCCAAGAAGCCCTTCTGACACTTGTTCCTCCAGAAGTTAATTCTTCCCCACATGAACATGATCGACTTGGACAAGCTGATGGAGCCCTTGCAAGGGCCAGACCTGGCTCTTGCCAGGCTTGATTTGCCTTCATGGCTGCTTGGTGACGAAGATCCTCAACTGGGTTTTTGCCATGGGGCCAAAGAGATGCATTCCCTCACCTCTGGGAGCAATGGACATGCCTCTCCTCCATTCATCACTTCAGGTTAGTATATATGTTGGAAAGGCAGCTTGAATGAATTATTTCAGCGGGACAATAGACACACTGAAGTAAGTTTGCAACTTGCCAATAATTTTTAAGTGGAAGCTGTAAGCTCGTTGCAGTGTTGCACCAATGATATAATTTCTTCTTTAAACAAGTTGAAAGATTGCTAGAGCAACTTTCAAACCCCCATAGACACAATAATTATTTCACTTGATATCACAAGGTCCTAGTGATTGGCAGCTTCAGCTGAATATATGCACATATTACAGGGCTAGAATCAGAAGACAAGCCTGTTGTGCACTCTAAGTGCGAAGACAGGATTTCATGCTTGAATAACTTAGTGGTTCTTGCTTGGTAACTGCCTTGAAACTTCTCAAACATTACATTGAACTGCCCGTGCTTTCTTGTCATAACATTGATATTATAAATAGATTTGATTTGGAGGTCAAGTTTTTTTCGTGATTAGAAGGGCAAGACAAGGAGTTCATAACGTGTATTAAATAAAACAACCTAAATGTAAGCACGGTATCCTTGACGCAACCTAAATGTAAGCACGGTATCCTTGACCTTGTATTGAATTCCTGATGTTTAAATCGACGATTTATGAGAGGCTTGCAAAAATTGAATTTTAGGAATGTGCTTTGGCCAGCTTGCTATAACCAGTCACCTGGTGCCGCTCACTTGTTGGTATGTACACAATATGATCAGCAATGTGTGTAAGGCTTACCTCTGTTTTCAGACATTTCGGACTTGGACATCTACGACCAAATTGACTGGAACGAACCCTCCAGTTTAGAAGAATGCTTCCCTCATGACCTGAAGCAGCAGCTGCAAACTTTATCCTCCTGTGACAACTGGGAGTCCAGCACACCCCCGCCCCTTGCAGCTTATGGAGAACATGGTGCTGGTGTTGATGATCGTGCTCTTACTGGTGTGGAAGTTGCTCCAGAATCACCGCTTATTTTGGATGATGCTGCTACTCCGGAAGTGTTGCTGCAATGGTCTGGCGGGATACCTGCTTTTGTGACGCCCGAAGAAGATACCACTACTTCTGGAATTGGTACATCAGCAACAGTGATCTCGGTTCCCATCAGCGATGCCCTCACCCCTAGCGTACCAGAAGTGAAGAGCGCTCGTCAGCATGAGGCGGCTCCCATGTTCATTGTTAGGACTGTGCCATCGACCGCCTTCAGTCCGGCACCTCAGAAAATTGTCATCAATTTGAAGAGAGTTTCGATGGTTCCTAAAACCTCTAATCCTTGCCAAGAGACAAGTAACGATGTAGTTAGCAAACAACCTACCACTGCGTCGCGCACTCTAAAGAATATTTTTTGCAGCAGCACAGCGGACGATGAACTTTTGCAATATTTCACGCCATCAGATAGCCCGCATCCTTCTGAGCAGAGCCATACCGCAGACGAGCAGACTTACGTCACCAATGAGCAGACCTGCGTCATCGACGAGCAGACCAACATCACTGATGAGATGATTTGCATAGGAGATTCAGGTGATGAGACGGACTCTGTCGACTACGAACAGATATCGCTGTTGTCTCCAAGTGACCAGTCTGTGGATGCTGAGATGACGTACGAGGAGCTCACAGAAGACAGTGGCATCTTCTTGTTGTCTCCCGAATCCAGAGGAAGCGAATCGTTTTCGTCTCCTCCTCGCTTCGGGAACAACCAATTCCTGTTCTCGCCTCACTCCAGCAATGAAGTAATGTCGCACTCAAGCATTACCGCAAAGCCAGTGTCGTCGTCGGTCCGGAAACCGCGTGCCTCACCGTACTCGCCTCTGGAGAAGAAACTGCGCAAGAAAGAACAGAACAAACGAGCCGCGTTGCGCTATCGTCAGAAGAAAAAAGATGAGGAGGACACCATTCTCATGATGCTGCAGAGGGAGGAGGACAGACAGAAGGACCTCACTGAGAAATATGATGCGCTGCAAATGGAAGTGCGGCTCATGAAGAAATTAATGAGGGAAGTTTTTGCTAAAAAGATTGGCATGAAATCCACTAAGAAAGTTTTTTCCTCGTAGATTGGCATAAAATATTATGAAAAAATTGTACCTAACAAAATATTTGGTTTTAAATCAACTAATAATCGAGGAAAGATTTTCCGAAGATCTTATATATCCAGTTCTGAAGGAATGCATGTCTTTGGCCCGAGTTCGGCCTTTCGTTTTTGTTTTCTTGTCCACGCACTATTTTTCTTAAGGAAGGCTGCAGGAGGAGCTTGGACCAGGAGCCACGCAGCCATGATGGCCTCGAGCCGGAACAATATTTTGCGTGCTAACCCGTGCCTCTTGTCGCTACAGGTTCTGCTCGTTTAAGCAAGCTCGTTGCAGACTTGATGGATGCACGAAATAATGAATTGGAGGTGTACGTAGCACGTTCCTGACGTCAAAATTACTTGCGCTAACGTAGCATCGTCAGGTGAATGAATTAGTGTCGTAACTTCATCGCAATAATCTCAATTCAGCGTTCAGTGTTACCCGGGCACCGCCATTTGTAATCGAATTTACGATCCGTATAATTCTTTTCACCTTGCCCAAGATTCTAAATCAAAGCTGCATATTATCATTCATTATTGCCGTGCATTTGAGTGCAGCGCCTGAAGCTTCGGGAGGCACGCGCGTCCTGACCAGCGCCTCCTCGCCACGCTAGTGTAAGATAAGCAATGTATTAGTTTGTTTAGTAATCTCATACGTTGGAGTTTGAAGGTCTATTTCGTAGTTCTTTTTATACTAATTCACTGAAGATTTCATTAAAACTTTTAGTTTGCCTGGGATTAGTTCTGTCATTCTCATAGTTTGGCTCTGCTGGTGTATATTTCTTAAGGACTCACGTCCAGTGTGTCTTGTCTATATTTGAGTGAAAGACACCTCAATAAAATCCCATCACTATTTGTCTATTCCTTGACCTTGTAAAAAGATTGATTTCTAAGCATACGAAACTAAGACGAAAAATGTGGAATATTGAGAGGAAGGTTGAAGTTCCTCTAGACGAACTCGACGGTCTAACCGCCTAGTGTTTCGCACCATGTCTGTCCAGGGCTTAAGAGTTTTCGACGTTTACGCTGGCTGGAGCTCGGCCAGCAAGGCGCGAGTGTTAGCCTCACATATGTAGTGGGTTCTAAGCAAAAAGCTTTGAAGTCGCGCCGTAGTTGACAGAAGCAATTTTAAAGTCCTCACCTGCGGCAGATATGGTTAACTTTCATTGAAATAAAAGCTGGTCCTTGATGAAAATGTCCAAAGAAACAAAGCATCGCTTCAGGCATACCTTCACTGTAGCATTACGTCTGCTCTGCAGCGACTGCGCTTTTCATTACTTGTTTCACGAGACCTCAAATTCAACATCCGAAATATGAAGGGTACGTTGGCTTTCAACAACGAGATTTCAATAGATCAATGAAAAACTTTGATTTCGTTGCAATGAATAACTAATTAACTATAGCAGGGTTTTTTTCAGACACGCCTTCAAAGATTGCATTTTTACACGAGTGAAGAACCAGTAATGAATAAGAACTTGAAAATTTTAAAGTTTGTCTTTATTTCAGCATTGACTCTGCCTGGAACATTGATCAATGCTTACAATATCAACAAAGTGAATGTTTTATGTAATAAGAGACGACTCATTAGGTTTGCGAACTATGGTGTAGGCGGTCTCTGGTGCCAAGAATCTTGTTTGACGAGTTGACGTAACAAGGGCGGTGGTGGTTGTTATGGCGGTCTCGTCAGTCTCAATTAAATACAAATGAACAATGAAACACTTTATTTTGTTACTTTTTGCAATTGAAAATGATGGCAGGTTTAATGTACATTAACGGGTGTGGTGGCAGTGTTTGAGGAGCTTAACGCTTGCGCCAGGTATACTTAGCCCTGGCCCCCTTCTGGCCGGGCTTCTTCCTCTCGTGCCGCCGGACGTCCTGAGTCAGTAGCCCCGCTGTTGAGGATTTTAAAAATTAGGCATAACAATGGATAACTAAAGATAATAACAAGGAGACTTTACTCTTCCATAGGTATTATTGTTGAAGCTAATGCGCAGGTCATTCTCCGAAAATCAAGTTGAGTTAACTTGAGCTTATTTTTTTTTTACAATTACGGCAAATTTCATCACTGCTTTAGTTAGAAAATTAATAATTACTTCAATAAAAATAGAAATTAGCTTGACTACTATAGAGAAGAATTTTACTGTAGAGTGCTAGTTTAGTGACCATGGAATCAAGTCAGACTCTAGGTTAACTAGCTCGGACACAGTAAGAGCAGCCTCTAGAGAACTAAAACGCTACAGGTCGTCGTACCGAGTCTGAGTTTCTCGCAAGTGTCGGGGTCGCAGAAGGCGGTGAGGGCTTGGGCGAGAGCGTAGCGGATGGCGCAGCTCTGGCCCGTGTTGCCCCCGCCCTCCACCTTGCAGAACACGTCCACTTGGCCCACCTTCTCCGCCACCATCAGCGGCAGCAGCACCTGCAATGCATATCGACGCTGACGCTAAGTGGCAGCAGCTCACATCAAAGTTGATCCTTGCCATACTGCATAATTTTACAANTTGCCCCCGCCCTCCACCTTGCAGAACACGTCCACTTGGCCCACCTTCTCCGCCACCATCAGCGGCAGCAGCACCTGCAATGCATATCGACGCTGACGCAAAGTGGCAGCAGCTCACATCATAGTTAATCGTTGCCATACTGCATAATTTTGCAATGTTATGATCATACCGAGTGTATAAGTACAGTTCTACTCATGCAGCTCGACATGGGTTAATGATGACATCATAGTTAATGATAACGCATCATAGTTATTGATGACGCATCATAGTTATTGATGACGCATCATAGTTATTGATGACGCATCATATAGAATAATGATGTGTCTTAGTAAATGATGACAAATCACACGTATTTCTTTTATCCAGACTGAATAAGTAGTGTCATCGCACAACCTTCTGGAATCTAGCACAAACAGCAGGACGCGGCCGTTGATTTCAACATGGGCGTATCACTAGCCTGCTCCCGGTACTGTGGGTGTTCGAAGTACAGCAGGTGATGTCACTAACCTGCTCCCGGTACTGCGGGTGTTCGAAGTACAGCAGGTGATGTCACTAACCTGCTCCCGGTACTGTGGGTGTTCAAAGTACAGCAGGTGATGTCACTAACCTGCTCCCGGTACTGTGGGTGTTCGAAGTACAGCAGGTGATGTCACTAACCTGCTCCCGGTACTGCGGGTGTTCAAAGTACAGCAGGTGATGTCACTAACCTGCTCCCGGTACTGTGGGTGTTCGAAGTACAGCAGGTGATGTCACTAACCTGCTCCCGGTACTGTGGGTGTTCAAAGTACAGCAGGTGATGTCACTAACCTGCTCCCGGTACTGTGGGTGTTCAAAGTACAGCAGGTGATGTCACTAACCTGCTCCCGGTACTGTGGGTGTTCGAAGTACAGCAGGTCGCTGCCGTTGATGTTGATGAGGCCACTGCCAGATTCGTAGAGCTTCACAAGCGCCTTGGTTGTCTTGCGGGTGCCCTGGGCGATGGTGTATCGTCGGCCGTCATCCTCAACTTGCACCTGCAAGGAATACAAGGTAATAAGCGCGAGGTAAGCAAGGTAGAATAATACTTCATTATTAGGGACAATTCCACCCAGTAGAGTGGTTTAAATTGAAAATTTTCCTTTGCTGAATGGCTGCTTCTCCAGGAAATAACGACCTGGCTTCAGGAATGACTCCTTCAGCTGAAAATGTCCGCATCACCTGGAAATGACAGCTTTGCTCAGGTAATGACTAACTTGCTTCAACAATATCGGATTCCCCCGGAAATTACCATTTCACCAGGGATTGACCGCTTGTACTGAATAATGACTGGAAAGGAATGAATGCTTTATATGGGTAATGAATTCTTATCTGGTGAATGATTATATTATGACACATATGCAATGCATGCCTCACCTCGGGAACGACAGCGACTTCGTGTTCAATTGCTATAGGTTTCCTGAAGCTGTTGATGAAGTCCTTGGCCAGGTAGCTGTATGGGTGCTGGCACAGCCGCTCCAGGGACAGCACCAGCTTCTCGTACTGTAAATTAATTAACAAAAATTAGGTAAAAGTGAATTAATTGATTAATAACTGCTTGGTGAGGGTGCAATAATAATTTCCTAAACCACACATTGCTGATAATTATATACTCGTTTAGGGGCTAAGAGGCCAAGTTTATGGAGTCAAAAGTTGAAATTTGGATTAAAATTTTGCTAAAAAGATAACTAGGAAATTTACAGGTGGCATTTACAAACTCGATGGAGGTTGGGTCGATATTCAAGAAAGCTAAGTAGCTTTTGTTGACAATATTGGTAGTATTGAATGCTATATTGTATTTTACGATTGTTTATAACAGTACCTATAAACATGACCAATACCAGAAAAAAAAATCCATTCTACCACAGCAGAAACAAAAATTTTTGTCGCTTGGAAAGCTTTCAGTGTCGACATTGAATTGTTCTGAAATGCGTAACTTGCTGCCAGCAGTACCAGCATTAGGCAATACTTGCAAGGTTTCCTTAGGCAAGTGATATGCGTTATAAGCAATGATTTTGTTAGTGTTTTTCGTTAGCGGCAATGGGAATAGTAAAAAAAGAGAAGAAACAACAGTAGCACGATCAGGAGGCAGCCGTGCCTTCAAAATGAGCCAGTTGAAGGATCAAAATGAGGTAGTTGATGGATAAAAAAAAACAGTTCCATGATCAAAAATAGACAGCCAAAGAATCAAATGTTCCCTCAATAAGGCTGCATTTTAGATACCAAAAAATAAAAGCAGCATATCCAGGAAAAAGCAAGGTCACCCGAGTTAATAAAAGTAGAGCAAGACGCACCATCCAGTCTTTAAGTTTCTCCAGGAGCTTGGCCTCAACTTCTTCCTTGGACAGCCACAAGGAGCCCTCCAGCACTCTGCACACACAATAATATACCTATCTATATTACCTATATATATTTTTAATTAGGTAATATTATATTGTATTACTATATTATATTAGCCCTCCAGGATTTGCCCATTTTGTTTTTAAAATCCGTAAAGCACAAGTAAATTATACAGTGCTTACCAGTGCAGCAGAACAACATGAGAGTGGTGAACACAAAGCTAACTAGTTTAAAGAACAACCTAGTGTCGCTGGATGTGATGTTAACGAGGGTATCAGGAACACTTATGGCATCAGTCTGGACTACATCCTCACAACTCACAGTTGAGACTCTCCTCACAACTCACAGTTGAGACTCTCCTCACAACTCACAGTTGAGACTCTCCTCACAACTCACCGTTTAGATTGTCTTTTCACAACTCACAGTTTACACTTTTGCCTCACAACTCACATTTAAAACTGTCTCCTCATAACTCACAGTTTAGACTGTCTCCTCACAACACAGTCTGGACTACATTCTCACAACTCACAGTCTGTCAATGATCTCAACGTTGGTTGTGTTGGAGAGTGACTTTAGGGTGTTAGCTTCTACCTCCGGTACTTCAGATTTGCGTATCTTAGAATCATTGTACATTTTTAAGCTTAGGCCCAGTTTAAATTCAGCTGTGAGCTCCTATCCCCTTGAAATTGTGAATAGATAGGTTTTTATGCCCTATTACTTGTAAATTTAGGTTCTAATAGTGTTCTGTGCTTTCAATCGTATTAACTTGTGACTTTCTATGTATGTTCTAGATTCTACGAACTGACGATGGAGCTGGACTCCGAAACGTTTTCTATAAAGATATGAATTTTTGTGGACTTTTCTTTGCTTTTAAATTTTTAGTCAACTTGCAATTTAAGCAAATAAGTGACATTAATACTTTAAAACATGTTTGCTTCATGCAGCCTTTAGTCCTAAGGAAACACACTTAAAACTACCATATGAACTAATCAACCTGAATATTTTGAACCTGTGAATCTCACAAAAAGATTGATAAAACTAGATTAAAATGCTATTTCTTTTCAGTACAAAGTAGCAAGTCTCACGTCAGCATCCTGTCGTGTGAAGGTGGCTGGGTCCTGACCCATGATGTTGGCAAGATGACGATGTGCCAGCTCAAACTCCGTCACCTTCTCCCGCATGAAACTCTCTGATCAACATGGTATAGTTAGTTCTCCAATAGTATAGAAAAATAAAAAAATTCTGCCAGGCATCTCATGCAATTTATAATTTCTCTTCCTACACATTTAGTTATATTTGGAGAAAAACTAACTTATTCTGGCCTCTTCAAGCACTAGATAAAATATACCTGAAATCTTAAATAAATTGGGCTCCCAATGCTCAGAACTCTAAAGGCAGAATGTAAAATAACTGAACTTTGATACCACAAGCAAATGAATGTATCCTTTACTAGGAGGCTAGCTGAAGATTAATTGATGCTTTATCAATTCCTTTGCATATCATTTTTATGGATCAAGGAGCTTGATAATGATTGATCATTGATTGGTGTCTTGTATGCCACCCAGTACGTCCCGGTCATGAACACTATGCAAGGCACTTGGTTGCTGTCCACTTTGAAATGCATGTGCATCCTTTATAGGTAAAGTTTTAAAAATAAAATATAATTACACAGAATTGTTTGATAATCGACTCAAATTTGAACTAATTCCTCAATCCAAATGCAAATACTTTGAAATATAGAAGTGAAATGAAGCTGGCTCTTGTTGAAAATGTGTACTTCTGTTCCATTCAAAATATTCATTTTTTTATTTTGCTTTGGTGTAAACCTTACAGCTGGTATTAGTTCAGACTCATTTGTACTAACATTTAGCAAATATTTGTACCTATACTTGCACTGATATTTTACACTTAAAGGGAAGGCACCACAATAATTCAAACATGAAAAAGTTTACCTATAGTAAACACTCACTGTGTGCCTGGACACGTTCCAGATATGACCTGGCAGCTTTATTTGTGGGGATGTGGTTGAGTTCTTCTCTTAAAACTCCTTCCCTTACCCTGTCTATCATCTCCTGCTGCTGGGACATCTGCAGGCCTTTCATAAAGCCTGAATTCCTCCTTTGCACCTGTGTGATCAAAACAGAATAGATTTCCATTTCAATTATCACAGATGTTATGCCTGAGAACTTGGCTACTATACTTTTGTATAGGTATAAACTTTATCCTCCAAACCTGCATGATATATATTTTAAGAAAATAGTTTTCCATTGCTATTATCACAAATTTAATGCCAGTGAATGGCTAATAAATACTTTCATAATTCATGCTTCAAGATATTTATTGACTATTGAGTGTCTACACTTTATAAAAGACAAATTTATGAAAATCCACAGTAACGTCTTACCAAAATAAGATTTCTAAGAAGCTGAGAGCAGCGTCGCATGAGAGCAGGAGGGACTCTCATCTCATGTAGGACACTCAATGTTGCCATGGTCAAAATTGGTTTCTATTAAATCATCCAAATGGTAAATAAAATATTATGTACAAAATTATTAAACTCTAAAAATAAAATAAAAATATGTCATATTGATCTCTCAACCTGAAAAAGTGAGAAATTTACAATTTTTTTTTTTTGTCACTTGCTACTGTAACACAAGTTAATATAATTCTCGATGAAGTGAATGAATACAATAATAATCAATTGTCCCACAAGCTCAATCGCAATGACTCCCAGTCAAGCGCTTGTTATTTTCATAAAGAAATATTTGGAGTCGATTTGATAAATATATATTTGTATAAAAACTAGTCAGCCCTTTGAATGTTTTTGTGCACCTATGAATATTATGACAAACAAGAGCTTTTTGAAACAATTTGAATATTATGACAAACAAGAGCTTTTTGTTGACCTTCTTTATCAAGTTCTATTAGTAAAATAGAGCAGTAAGTATCTGTAATAACAGCATTAACATACAGAAAATATTAAATGGAATTTTGAGGTTTGTCATGAAATTAGATGGTTTCTAAAACATTTGATAATATGTATCTCGGTACCTCACTTTAATCTGCAATACTGTAACAGCCCAAAAAATGCTTAGAACAGCCAATTGACAAATGTTTAAAAATAAAGAGCGATGTTTGAAAGATGAGAGTAGAATTTTGTCATCCAATTAAATACAGTACAATGATTGGCCAGCACAGAGTTAGTATTACTAGCATGGAACTTTGAAGAGAATAGTAGTTAAGGGGACCCGCTACCCTAAAATTTTCAATTTTGGCATTTTCTGGTTTTTGTGCTCATCTTAAAGCTTACTTTTTGACGCATCCAACGGTACCAGAATCATCCCTCTACATCAAAAAATGATTTGTAACAGCCCCCCAAAGGGAGGGAGTTTTTAGAGCCCTTCACTAAAGCCTATGGGATTAATTAGAAGGCTGGACACACTAAAAAGGAACGTCTGATGTAAAGCGGCCAATTATGGCATTATCCGGTGCTTATACTCATCTTAAAGCTTACTTTCTGACGATTCCATTGGTAGCAGAATCATCTTTCTACCTCCATTTTTACGTTTGCCACGCCTCATGGAACGGGGGGCGGTGGGGGGCGGCCTTAACAAATTGCAAAGGCAGTAATTACAGGGCGTGACTTCATATACTGCCAGATGCAGCCAGATCTTTCAGTGCCCATCATGACAGCAAGGTGAAAAGTGTGCAGCCACTCGCTCTATGCCTTCCTCACTTATTTTTAAGGCTTAGTTTCGGTATGTTGGCTACATTACGACTCTTTTACGTCATTTTACGTGCCGCCTGGCAGTTTTTCGGGCGTGGTGAAAACCTCCGATTGGTCTCATGGCAAACCTATCTCCTCCTACAGTTTTCAAGCTACAGCAATGAAACATATACCATTCGATTTGTAAAGACCATACCTTTCGAACTGATGACAATTTTTTCAAATTTCTGTCTGGTTCGTTTTTTATATGGGGGAGAAGGGGGGGAGGGGTTAGGGAAGGTGCTGGAGATTCACTGGGAAGCCAAAGGAGGCGCCAGCCTGAAAAAGTTTGGGAACCACTGTTCCAGAGAAACGTAAGATTACCATCAAGCAGGATAATAAGGGACAGTTTTAGAATTTTTTATTAATAACTTCTTACCGTGAATCATTCCATAAATGAGTTTGGGCTCACTTTAAAGGCCTTTGTGAGGGCTATCATCTGGCATCTCCAAAAAATGCCATACGCTATTTGTAAGGTGCATGATGCAACATAAAAGCCTCTAATTACCCCTGGGAACAGGGTAATTAGGGACACTTTAAATAAAACTAAATTTTAAAATGTTTGAAGCATGCAGAGTGTACCTACTCATCTATTACGAACAGTCCTCTTCTTCCTATGTAAATGATGTAGAATAAATGACATATTTTAGGTGATTTTTACTTGTTTTATCTTTATTGATATGATATTACCATATCCATGGACATGCTATTGAGCATTGACAACGACCTTGTCCACTGTAAGCTTCATATCAGCAGCCATATAGCATTTCTTCTGTATCTGTATGCTTGCAGGATGGCTTGCAATTTTACACAATTCTAATTGGGTTAAGTGAATTTGCTATAACAAAAAAAGATTGTGAAAAAACATACCTGAAACAGAAAGAAATATTTTAGTGACAACTATCATATTTTTGAGAGAAATAAATCATAGTTTAGGTCAATTACTTTTCATTCCATGTTGCCCATGCCTGGCCCAGTGCACCATCTATCTATGACATTCAATGCACAATTTTGTACTTACCTTACCTTATGACCTTATGATGAGTTCAGGACTTCCTAATCCCCGGTCATGATGATGCGCCGCCTTTGTCATCCTCCATCTCCAAGTCGTTGTCGGATGTAACGTTGGACGTGTTGAATGTAACGTCGGACATGTTTGTGACGACTGATGATGCATTAATTTTTTGTTAAGTGAAATTTCTTTCACTAAGCAAGGTAAATGTACCCAAAATTCTTTGTTAGTTCAAATCAGTTCAGTAGTTTGTAAGAAATTCTATGATCACTGTGAATTTTGGCCTGTATCACCATATAACTCCCAAATGTAGGTGAAATTTAAAATTTTTTCACCAGCTAAACATTGTTAGGTCCTAATGAATATGTGTTCCAAGTGTAATAGAACTGCATTCATTAGTTTGGGAGATCTTCCTTGGTCACTGGATTTGGAGATTGGTTGTTGAGACTGGATGCAAGACCGTCCATGAGTCCGGCTGTAAATTTGTCCAAGCCGTCTTGAATTTCTAGTGCTGAAACAGTTAAAACTGAAAAAAAAACTTATATTGGTTTGCTAAATGGGGTTTCATTTGTGAAATATGTACACATTTGAGGCTTTAGTTTTTATATGTCTGCCCAGGGGGGGGGGAAAGTGCTGGAGATCTGGAGATTCACTGGGGAGCCAAAGGGGGTGCCAGCCTGAAAAAGTTTGGGAACCACTGTACCAGAGAAACGTAAGATTACCATCAAGCAGGATAATAAGGGACAGTTTTGAGAATTTTTGTTAATAACTTCTTACCATGAATCGTTTCATGAATGAGTTTGGGCTCACTTTAAAGGCCTTTGCAAGGGCTATCCCCTGGCATGACTTCCTAATCCCCGGTCACGCTGATGCACCACCTTCGTCATCCTCCATCTCCAATTCGTTGTCGGATGTAACATTGGATGTGTTGAATGTAACACCGGACATGTTTGTGATGACTGATGATGCATTAATTTTTTGTTAAGTGAAATTTCTTTCACTAAGCAAGGTAAATGTACCCAAAATTCTTTGTTGTTTATAGTTTTTTTTTTTTTTATGGGAGCCTTTACTTTGAGTTTGCTAACCAAGATTCTACTGTAAATGCATTTTTGGAGGTGTTATTTACATTATTATCCTGGGGAGGGGGAGGGCATCCCTTAACCCTTATTACCCCGTATTTTGGGATCATGGGATGAGCTTCACAAATTCTGTCAATCACATTTTTAAGCAAACACCTATGTGCAACTTTTACATACTATGTATATAAAAAGTTTTAATACGCCATATTAAAAAACTAGTGACAGTGTTATTAAAATTAGTGTTTGTACAGCAAATATTTTTTTTAATACAGGCCTTAGCAAAGGTAATCTTCCAAAATCTTACTTTTCACACTTTTTCCATTGATTTTTTCAAGGTAGTAAATGTATGATTGCCAAACTTGCTTTATGCTATGTAGATAGGAAAAATGTTTAACTTATATTCATTCTCAGAAACATCCTGGAGCAAGCCAACGAATGGAACGCTACATTGTACGTCCACTTCGTTGATTTTGAGAAGGCATTTGATTCAATACACCGAGACAGCCTTTGGGCCATCATGCGCCAATATGGAATACCTCAGAAGCTGATCCGGCTAGTCAGGACTCTCTACGAGGACTTTCAGTGCTCCGTGATCGATGAGAACGAAACAACAGAGTGGTTTCCAGTAAGGACAGGAGTGAAACAGGGGTGTTGCATGTCAGGATTTTTGTTCCTCCTTGTGATCGACTGGGTAATGCGCAGGACTGTGGAAGGTGAAAGAACTGGGCTCCGATGGAATTTAACGACCATGCTGGAGGACCTTGACTTTGCAGATGACATTGCCCTTCTGTCTTCAACAATGAATCACCTGCAGCAAAAAACAACCAGGTTAGAGAGTAATGCAGCAAAAGTGGGGCTAAAACTGAATGCCAAGAAATGCAAGATATTGAAGGTCAACAGCGGGAGCAACAACAAGCTGAGGGCTGGAGAGAGCGAGGTGGAGGAAGTGGAGAGCTTCACATATCTGGGTGCAAACGTCACTAAGGATGGTGGGAGCACAGTGGATGTGAGGAGGCGAGTGGCAATGGCAAGCGCGCAATTCAAAAGACTAACAAACATCTGGCAAGCCAGAAACATCAGCAGAAAGACCAAAACCTCCCTGTTCAAGAGCCTGGTTCTTTCAGTTTTGTTATACGGATGTGAGACCTGGAAACTAACCAAGGGAGAAGAGAGAAAACTAGATATCTTTCAGACCAAATGCTTACGGAAGATTTGCAAGATCCGATGGCAGCAACACATCTCAAACAAGTCGGTTCTTGATATGACAGAAGTGGAGAAAATCAGTGATGTGGTGAGGAGACGGAGGTGGAACTGGGTGGGACATGTGTTGAGGAAGGACAGAGCAAGCGACTGTGCTGTGGCCCTCGGGTGGGCACCTGAAGGAAGGAGGAAGAGAGGACGCCCAAAAACAACTTGGAGGCGAATGGTGGAAGAGGAGAGAAACCGAGCAGGCTGGAACTCGTGGAACATAGCACAGCAGGCAGCTGCAAACCGGACCCAGTGGAGGAGTGACGTCCAAGCCTTGTGCGCCTTATGGCGCAGACTGCGGAGAGAACTGAACTAATATTTCAATTAGTTTAGTTGCTACATTTCTATGAAAAGTCGAAAGAGCGGGAGGACTGTCCTGAATCCTGATTTACCATGCTTGTCCCTTATTACCCCCATTTCATGGTGCTGGTGGTACAGTAAGTCTAGTAAGTAGTAAGGCTCTGTGTTTAATCGAACAAAATTAAAAAACTGTACAAAAAATTCACCTGTCTACTGATACTGTTCCTACTGTATTACATATTAGCTTAAATTCAGCGTGAAAAAGGCAGGGTATCATTATTAATCAAATAGTCTATGTCTAAGGGAACAATGCTAACTTGATCAGAAAACACAATAAACGCATGCAGATTAATGATAAATACAATTCAATAGACAACTGAAAAGTGATAAACTGATAATCTTAGCATAACTCAACAAACAGGAATATGATTTAGGTAACTACCGTCAATTTGCCAAATGCCAATTGCAAAAGCACTTCTATCCCTAGCCTTCAAAATAAAAATCTATTTTGTTAATACAGTGACATAGAATAGGTATATAGAATTTAACATGTAAAATATTTATATATAGAATTGTCACTAATACTAATAGTGACAATTCTCTAGTGAGATCGAAAAAGATTCTTGCTTATTGTGTAGCAATCTAACCCTATGAAACGTAAATCTGATAAGTATTAATGTAATGGTTTGTTTCTGTTGACGAGCGGCGAGTTAAGTCACCGAGTGAAGCAGCTACTAGGCTGCCAATGTAAATTGTAAGTGAGTAAAGTGATCAGTGGCGACTTGTGATGCACTGACGTCTGACGGTGACGGTAGACTGTAGAGGTTCATTGAAAGCATATAACCTACGTAAGCTACGATGCCTACGCAAGTTATTGGCAGATCTTTCGGCCAGTTTTAGAAATTATCAAGTAATTTGATCAGCACTTCAGCGGTTTTAAAACATAACATGCTCAGTTGTAGATATATCATTAACGCGGTCTTAATAAGTTTCATAGAAATGTTGCGGCCTCCTGCCCGGGAATCATTTTGAAGACAACTTCAACAAGACAGAGTCAATGATTCGTCTACTCGCAGACAAATAGACGTAGACTTGAATGTGTTTTATACTGATCTAGGACTTTCGATACAATCTAATGGAACATATTAGTACTACTTTAGTTAAATAATGTAGCAAAAGACCAATTAATGCGGGATTGATAGTAGAAATAGGAAGCAAGGACACCTGGCGGTTGTTTTTGCAAACTGAAATTATCGCAAACGAGCATGAAGTTTGAGGTACTGAAAGCTACGATTCAGTCGTATGCCCTTGCTTGCAAACGATCAATGGTGAATGACTCAGTCGTGTCAGAGGTGTTGTTGTCAACATATTTTGTCTTTTACTACTCATACCTGTTGCAAACTAGAGTTCGAGTGTTGCGATTGTAAAAGCAAGAATTTAATAACACAGTAGTTGCGCTTGAAATGTGTAAATAGTGTTTTAAAAAAGCTTTGCTCACTGAAAAACGAGTTACTAGGTTAGTCTCCTAAAAGAATGGATGCAGCGTCTCTGCCCCAGTCTTCAGTGCCTCGAACTCACGTCTCCTCGATTGAATGGACCAGAACATCGACGATGATGTTTATCGACGCCTTGAAACAACATCCGTGTTTGTGGCAAATTAAAAGCGCTCAATACAAAGACAGGGGATTGCGTTTTGCTGCTCTTAAGAATATTGTTGCCATTATGCGACAATCCATTTACGACATTGAAGTTGATGATGTTCGCAAAAAAATCAACACTCTGCGCACACAATTTCGCCGCGAATATAAAAATGTTATTGATATGCGCAATGCTAACGATGGATCAGAAGATGCATATATTCCGAAATTGTGGTGTTATGATAACCTTCTATTTCTTGTCGAAGGAGAAGTCTCACGGCATTCTACTGCAAATCTGGATGACTGTAATTTCTTAGAAGACGCCGTAAGTTGGAATATTTTATATAATTATGATGCAAGATGAAGTTTTGTGCAGGCTAGTTTGGGTTCAACATTTCTGTGTATGTGTATGGCTTCAATATAATTCTTTCCACGTCATTCAAAATACATTTATGTTATGAGTTTCTATTTGCTTTAATTTCGTAACAATTATTCCATTAAAATTATTTATTTTTAATTTGAAATTATATTCATCAATGTAAGTAATAAAAAAATTATATAAGCTCAGGGGACATTAATCTGTAAATTATTTTTGTTGTGACACATTTGAGTTGAGCGTTCGCGATTTATTTCAAGGGTCAATTGAACTTTTTTTTTATTTAGCGTATGATTTCCTAAAATTTTAATCCTCCGGGAGTTTCAAACAAGATAGTAATTATGATGACATTTAGGTGCGAGAGTTCCAGGTTAGATTATAGCAGCTTTTAGAAGTACATGTATTAAATAACGTAGATTCTGCACCTGAGAATAAACGATTTCAATTACACATTAAAACGATTGCAATTCTAGATTTATTTTTGAATACTAATTAGATTTTCTCATTATCGACTAATCTAAAACTACGTAAATTTTATTTCTGAACAAGTAGAATATGTAATTTATTTTTACCACATGATAACTCTGATTTTGAATCCTCCGAAGGTATCCGACGAGATCGTCATGATCATGGACGAAGCTAGGATGAAGACGTCACCCCCGCCACCGCCAGCCTCGCACTGCTCCGGGTCACCGAGTCCAACCCAGGAAGGTCCAAAGCGGAAACTCAAGACGTCAGACCAGCAGGACGCGATAATTAGGTTTGCGTTTGAGAAATTGACACGGATGGAAGCTCAAGAGGAGGAGTTCTCGCCGCACGGAAAGATTGTCACGAAAGAGCTACAAAAAATGGATAAAGAAACACAGAGAATTGCTTGGAAGTTAATCAATGATGTTTTGTTCTTGGGTGGTATGGGGGTTTTGAGGCCCACGGCTTCTGTTAAAAACGGAGACTAGATCTTTTATCTACAAGTTATTTCAATGGATAGTGTATATTTAATAATTAATTAATAATTTTCAGAATAGTTTAACTAGTGTGTATTATGTATTCGAGTAAAACTTTGAGTTTGTTGATTTGGTCGTGACATTACACGCCATCGCAAGCGTAGTTGCACAACTACTAATGTCTCTTGATAGAAGTTTACGATAAATCTCGTAGGCTGTCTGTAAATGCTCCACGAATATCAAATCGATATATCGGCAAGGTAGCTAAGCGGTTAAAATCCCAAAGATTGGAGAAGTTTCTTAGCTACTTACAGGTTCAAAACCTGCAGATGATAATAAATACGTTTGCTCTTTTCATAATAATACGCTTATAAGGAAAGCAAAATTGGAGCTGTAAGTTCGGCGGGTTTGACACCAGCAACTGGCTCTACTTACATTATATCCAAATCATAATTATGTAATTGAATAACAATACAATTCTCCTGTGTTTTATATTATTTCAACCATGTTTATTGATAATAAATACGTTTGCTCTTTTCATAATAATACACATATATTCGAAGAACGCTTCAAGCTATAACTTGTATGGCTACGAGTATAGGGCTCAGGTCGTCTAATTAAACTTGCCAGATGGGATTTCCTTCTGGCCAAATTCGAAGATTTCGGCTCGCTTTGCAAAAAACGATAAAAAAACGCAGATCGTCATTAATTTATTAACCACAGCTCAAAAATTTACAAGAAAATATTGAAGTTTCATTGGTTTTAGCTTATTTTGTGAGCTGATTTGGCAGTCTCGTCTGGCTGCCATTTGACAACCCTAGCCATATTAGCCAATGTCTCGGTAACTTGCAAGTATCGATGGTCGTCTGTTGTTGGGTAGTCTTCATGTCTGATCATCTCATGAGCAACGTCGCACCCGTAACATTCGCATTGCCTTTATTTAAATATATAAAAGAAAAATACTCTTTTCATTTCTCCATCTAACGTTTTCAGTTTGTAAAATCCCCGTTTGCACGATTCCAGCAAATGTACATACAACAGCCACTTTTGCCATGAAAAGAAATATACAATTAGCGGTGAGTAAGATGGAAAACTGTGGACGAAAAGCAAGAAGTCAAGGAAGAATCATTTATTGAGTTTTCAGTGTTGTAGCTGGGAGAGAACACCGTCGGCATTGAGCAACAGGGTGACTTCGCCGCTGTTTTGTTCGTCCTCGTGCTGCTGCAGCTCACGTTCCTGTAACACAACGAAGCTTTAGCGTTAAATAATATGTGTTGAGGATGTAAATGAAGCTATCGGTAGTTTTCCAGTACGCTAATGGTTTTGATGGTTACATTAATGGTTTTAATGGTAGACTACAAGAAAGTGATCCCTTAACAGCTCTCACGGAGGCGTGGTAGTCGTGGGGCTTGTCGGTGATGATGTAAATGAAGCTGTCGCTGCCGTCGTCTTCCCCGCGGGTGCAGGCGGGACCAGCGACCAGCCACGTCTCCTCCTGCTGCTGCTGGTCCTGCTGCTGCTGCTGGTGCTGCTGCTGCTCCTGCTGCTGGTGGTGTTGCTGCTGCTCCCCAGCACCATTTTCTGCACAGCCAGCAGCTTTTGATCACAATATAAAACTTTTATTGAGTGAACTTCAATGAGCATATAAATACAGCCCTGATACTACAAATATATCATTGAGAAGATTAACTTCAGGAAATTCTTTAGCTGGCAAGTCTATCAGCTTTATAATAAACATGCTCCAGCAGATCTAATTATTATAATCAAGGTAACCAATTATATATTAATTACAAAAATTAACTACTACCGATTGCACGCCGGCATTTAATCAATAATCATGATGTATAATGATGCGAACAAATTATATGATGTTAATAATTATTATGGTATATGATGATAATTATGGAATATAATCAACAAATATACGGGTAAGACTAACGACAAACACCCAAGGAAATGAGCGAGACTTGGTCCCGAGTATCAATGGACTTTATGCCTTCATGTGGGTCATCCTGACCCAGTTAGCCTGGCAACAAGGCGTATCAGTTCTACGTCTGCTCGTACTACATGCAAGACAATGTGTCTCGATTTGAACAATAAACCCATTCATTTATCCGTGTGAGTAACACGTCTGATCGTACTACAGGCAAGATAATGTGTCTCAATTTGAACAATAAACACACTCATTTATCTGTGTGAGTAACACGTCTGGTCGTACTACAGGCAAGATAATGTGTCTCAATTTGAACAATAAACCCATTCATTTATGTGAGTGACGCGTCACTGACGGTAGACTTGAGGGCCTGGCGAGGCGTGCGCGTCTGGGGCGTCCACGGCGGGGCGGCCTGACGACGTCCCCAGCAGCAGCGCGGGGCCCTCCGCCGTCCTGCCTCCTGCAGGGGACAGAGTGATGCTCCCCACCCCTCCAGCACTCCCCAGCACTCCCTCTGTCTCTTATACACATCTAGATGTGTATAAGAGACAGACATTTAGGTGCGGGGGACCCTAAAATTACATAGATTATTGAATTATTGCAACGTCAGAAAATCCTGCTAATAAATATAGAAAATAGCGAGTTTTATACTTGAAAATTGCGGGCCAAAATAGGACGATCTCGTTGTTAAATAG